AAAAAAAAAAAAAAAAAAGAATTAGCCAGGTGTGGTGGTGCGTGCCTGTAGTCCCAGCTACTCAGGAGGCTGAGGCAGGAGAATCACTTGAACACAGGAAGCACAGGCTGCAATGAACTGAGATCTCGCCACTGCACTCCAGCCTGGGCAATAGAGTGAGACTGTGTCTGAAAACAAACAAACAAACAAAAATCCATGATGGTGACATAGGAGAAAAGTGAACTATGAATTACTCAAAGCTTTCTGGATTGGGTAAATGAGTGAATGGTCATGCCATTTTCTAACACAGAGATTATGGGAGGAAGTGAAGTTTGCAGTAACCCTGGAACATCCAAGCGGAGATGTACGGCAAGGAGTTGTGAATACCCAATAAATGTTAGGTGAATAAATTGCTGATTAATCTGATCAGGTACCAAAGTGTTCTAGTCCAAAAAACCATCTTTACATGTTATATGGTATAAACTGAGTACTCCCTAAGTCAAGTAAGGTTTTAATGGTGTGAACTCTTGTTATTGACACTTCATCAGAATAGAAAGGAAAAGGAAAGATTTGATGCAGTTTAAAAGTGTTGACAAATCTGCACATTGTTTAGCTCACAAAGCATCAAACTGTAATTCTTAGGGAATGCAAAGTAATGTTCCTACCTAAAGGCACTATCATTCTGTAGTGTGTTCAGAGGGTAAGATGTACAACACAAGTCTTTCTCTCTGTCCTGCAGATTCTTTATATGCGTTTCCATAACTACATGCTAGGAAAAGCTGAGACTATCTCCATGCTGTCAAGTGGGCACGTAATCTATGATATATCAGTGTAATAAGTTGCAAAGACTACAAATAATTTTAATATGTACGTGTAAATATTGACTTACCTTTGATGTTGATTAAAATAGCAAATAAATGGCTGGGAACCAATCTCATCTTTCCAGTACTGTTGCCAATTCATGACACTTTCCAAATTCTTCTGATTCTCTCTCTTACAGGGAGGGATATAGGAGCACTAACAAAATAGAATACAGAGAGTAAACCTATTATTTTGTGAAATATTAAAATATAGCCCTTTTTTTTTTGAGAGGGAGTCTTGCTCTGTTGCCAGGCTAGAGTGCAGTGGCAAGATCTCAGCTCACTGCAACCTCCACCTCCCAGGTTCAAGCGATTCCCCTGCCTCAGCCTCCTAAGTGGCTGGGACTACAGATGCGTGCCACCATGCCTGGCTAACTTTTTGTGTTTTAGTAGAGATGGGGTTTCACCATGCTGGCCAGGTCTCGATCTCCTGATCTCAGGATTCGCCCACCTTGGTCATCCAAAGTGCTGGGATTACAGGCATGAGCCACCACGCCTGGCTGAAATATAGTCATTTTTTATAGAAAGATGGCATTATACACACAATAAGTCTAATTTAGAACCTGCCTAATTTTTAAATAGAGCCAAACTGAAATTGCTAAACTATATTTCAAATTTCCAATTTGGCACAAGGACAGAAAATATTCCAAATACAAAAATACAGCAAAAAATAAGCTTCAGCCATTTTGGTATAAGCGTATTTTATAAACAATTACTTACAATGTCATAGCAAATTAAAAGCAAAATATGCTCTCTCTCTCTTTTGGGGGCCTGCCCGACAATGAAGGGAGGCAAAAATAAGTTTATTTTTATTCCCAATTCCTATCTATGAACCTTGACATTTCCCTCTTTTACCTGTAACTAATAAATCAAGCACACAAGCTCTTCTCAGGATGCTGTTCCAAACTGCTGAAACTCGTTTTCTTTTCTTACATTCTCTTGGACAACAAAATCAGTGGAAAACTTCCTTTCAAATACATAATCAACGTATTTTGTTAACCAATGTCTTTTCCTAGCCATGTCCCTGACAAAGTTCTCTTGAAGGGGTTCTATTATTCTAAGCAACATAGATTAAGCAGAATCAGACAACTGTTCTTAAGTCCAGATGTTAAAATCAACACTTGACATTCTAATCCACTTTCTGGAATTCAGCTTTTTACACTGATGATGAAAATGATGCCAGCTTCTATTTATTGAATGTTTACAGAAGACACTGTAATAAATGATTAACAGGGCTTGCGTAGTTTTTACAACCTTATAATTATTTCCATTTTACAGATGCAGACATTGAGATTTTCATAAGCTCCACACCAGAATCAGATTCTGGTGGTCTTATCACATTCTACTCTTAGGTATTTTACAAAGGCATCTGATATTAAGGAGCAGGGAAAAACCAAACCAAACACAACATAAGCTTTATAGTATAATTTCAGTCACATTGTTTAATTTACAGCATACAATTTTTCAACACCTTCTCATTATTTTCTGGTAAAACTGAAATGTTTTATCACGATGCACAAAGCTCTTCATGATCTGGTCCCTGCCTGTCCTCACCCTCATTTAATTCTGAGATGTAGCCATATGGACGTTCTTGCTCTCCAAATCTGCCACGTGCTGTCAACCTACTTGCTTGGCACAGGCTGTTCTCTTTCCTTTTAATGCCCTTTGTTCCTAAATCTCCCTTTTTAAAGATTCATGTTTGGTGTTACCTATCTGAGAGAGCATTCTTTTTCTTCCACCACAGTTAAGTGTCCCTCATTTGTGCTGCCATGGGACTCACGCCACGTGATATCACAGCTGGAAACACACAGTATCATACTTGTCTGTTTTATGTCAGCCTTCCCAATTTGCTGGCAAGGTGAGAACCAGAATTGGTTTTCTGTCTTTTCTATATTTTCACACTTATGACTATGTCTGCTAACGGTGAAATTGCAAAAATGTTGATTGAATTAGTTAATAACACGGATACAATTTTATTCAAGATTATATTATTTTCACAGTGTTTAAACATTTAAAAAATATATAAACACATAAATTTTAGTAAATTTGGTTACTGTCTATTATATATAACACATTCACAACATGTTATGCAAATGTTATTTTAATGACTGAATCATTGAATGTTTATCCTCTGCACATACAGTTCTATTTCTATTAATAACGGTAATACAAAGCTAAAAATGTCTGTGAAATATGGATTCTGAGTTCTTCCAAAGCAGCAGTTGGGCTTGGAAGCAATGGAGACCATTAGATAGGGCTCCAGTCCTATTATCAGTTAGGTGTTAGCCCTTGGGTAAAATACTTCCCTTTTCTGGACTTCATTTTTCAAATATGCAAAATCTCCAAAATAATTTCTAGCTCTACATATCTATGATTCTATTCTTGGAGGTACACCAAGAAAGAACCCAGCAGAAGGCAGGACTACAAACACTGCCACAGTATTTTTCCCAGAAGAGATCCTGCCCACTGGGGAGATGGCTGGGAACCCTGACTAAGCCAGCATTCCAGCCAGCAAAGAGGAGCAGTGTGGTAGGTCCTTCCATAGGGGCCAGTGCTTTACATTAGAAAAATGTTCACAAGGTCGGGTGCGGTGCCTCAAGCCTGTAATCCCAGCACTTTGGGAGGCCAAGGCGGGTGGATCACGACCTCAAGAGATCGAGACCATCCTGATCAACATGGTGAAACCCCATCTCTACTAAAAATACAAAAAATTAGCTGGGCATGGTGGTGCGTGCCTGTAATCCCAGCTACTCAGGAGGCTGAGGCAGGAGGCGGAGGTTGCGGTGAGCCGAGATTGTGCCATTGCACTCCAGCCTGGGTAACATGAGTGAAACTCCGTCTCAAAAAAAAAAAAGAAAAATGTTCACAAGAGGACCATGATTTTCCTACTGGTTACTTTCCTAAGGTGTTGGATATTTTGTTTACTTCTAGTAAAATGTATTTTTTTTTCTACATTGCAGTCAATTAGTTTACAAAGTGTGAGTAGGTGCCAAGTTATTGTGCTCTTCCAGGAAGGAGAAATTTCCCAATTTGGAGGTAGAAACTGTGAAGTGTGAAAGCCGAAAAATTCATCAGAGCCCTTTTTGCAATGGGTATACTTGACACAAGAGATATACTAAGTGTGTTAGAAAAGAACAATTAACAACCCAACGTAATCAAAACAGATTTTAAATATTTATAAGTTAACTTGGTTTGAATTCTTTGCTGTTTAGTTTTTTGGGGAAAAATGGGTTTAAAATAAATGTCTCTCTCAAATGATAACCTAAGATTTGACCAGAAGAATTACATCAACATGCTTCTGAAAAGGTCAGAAAAAACTTTCACTGAATGTGTAAAGTTTTGTATTAGATATGTTGAAGTTTCATGTGAGATTTTTAAAAAAAACTCTTGCTTGTTTGGAAAGTCTGAGGTTGTGTGGAAGGATTTTGGATGGAAAGTACTTTTTTACACTAGAGAAAAGAATACCTGAGATCAAAATTTTAGTATTCTTTTTATGCACTGCATTCTTTCCAAAAAGTGATATAGTAAATTAAGTGATCAGTAATTATAATATTCTAGGAACTTTTTAAAACTAATATTGCCTGGAAATAATTTTTTCTTTTTAAGAGACAGGGTCTCTTGCTCTGTGACCCAGGCTTGAGTGCAGTGGCAAGATCATAGCTAACTGCAGCCTCGAACTCTTGGGGCTCAAGTGATCCTCCTGCCTAGCCTCTTGAGTAGCTGGGACTACTAGGCACACTCCACCACACCCAACTAATCTTTTGCAGAGAAGGTGTCTGTCTTCTTTTGTTGTCCAGGCTGGTCTCAAACTCCTGGGCTCAACGGTTCCACCTGGCCTCTTGGAGTGCTGGGATTAAAGGCGTGAACCACCACACCTGGTCTAAAAAACTAAACTTTTTAAGGCAAACATCAAATTCTTAAAAATCATTATAGCTCCATTTCCTTAAATCTTTATTCTTCAGTTACTGTGAAGCCTAACTCAGATCCCCCCTAGATTCCTTCTCAGTTCACTTAGTGGATTATTGTAGATTATCAGAACTTTTACATAAGTTAGAAATGACCAAACCAGGGTTCTAGAAAAAGAACTCGAGAATTCAATCATATAAATGACTTTTCTTTCTAGGTTGTTCAAGCCTGGTGGTTTTCCAGGCTTCACAATAGTTCCACTATGAATGTCTCTCATTTGGGGAGGACCACAAATAACAAGCTACATGGAATATCAGCACCACAGCTAACATTTATTGACTATATGTCAAGTGCTATATTAATTCAAACAAGCAAATATTATAATTACCTCCATTTTTGGATGAGAAAACTGAGGGATAGAGGGATTTAAGAAAACTTTCTTGGCTGGGTGGCATGGCTCACGCCTATAATCCCAACACTTTGGGAGGTTGAAGTGGGCAGATCACCTGAGGTCAGGAGTTTGAGACCAGCCTGGCCAACGTGGTGAAACCCCATCTTTACTGAAAATACAAAAATTAGCAGGGCATGGTGGCACACACCTGTCATCCCAGCTACTCAGGAGGCTAAGGTACCAGAATCACTTGAACCCGGAGGTGGAGGCTGCAGTGAGCTGAGACTTTGACACCTGTACTCCAGCCTGAGTGACAGAGTGAGACTCTGTCTTAAAAAAAAAAAAAGAAAAGAAAAAGAAAACTTTCTCAAGGTCCCAATGGCAAATGGAAAAGCTGGGATTCAGATCGCAGAGGGGTCCTAACTACTGCTTTCCATATCTCCATCTTTAGGGACTCCTAGTCTTCTCTCTTTGGAGCTCCTGATTTGGAATAAGGAAATCTCTTGCCCTCTGCATCCCTCTCTTGGAGAACCAGTGTAATATTTTTATTGGAATGGAATTGGTATAGTCCTCCTGAGAGCTGATGGGTTAAGGCAAGTCTGTTGCAGTACTTTGTTTTCCTGGTACATCCTCAAAGAAATGCACTGTAAGTCTTTGCTTGTTCCCTCCTGTCTCAATTTGGCTTCAGGGTTGGTTTCTGGTGCCATGGATGCAATTTCACTTAGGTGAATTTATAGATACAATGCCTTTGGTCATGGAGGACAATAGCATTTCCTTAGAGAAATTTCTTCGTATAGTTCTGACCTATTTTGTTTTTCATTTGCAAAGGCAGCATTTTCAGACTTCCAATATCATTACTG